AAACCACAGCCTTGACTAGACGGACCTTTGTTGGTAAAGTAGTGTCTCTGCTTTTTAATATGCTGTCTAGGTTGGTCATAACTTTCCCTCCGAGGAGTAAGCATCTTTTAATTTCATGGCTGCAATCACCATCTGCAGTGATTTTGGAGCCCCNAAACTGACCTTTTCCAGTCCTGTGGCCACTGCTGAGTTTTCCAAATTTGCTGGCATATTGAGTGCAGCACTTTCACAGCATCATCTTTTAGGATTTGAAATAGCTCAAATGGAATTCCATCACCTCCACTAGCTTTGTTCGTAGTGATGCTTCCTAAGGCCTACTTGACTTCATATTCCAGGATGTCTAGGTGAGTGATCATACCATCATGATTATCTGGGTCGTGAAGATCTTTTTTGTACAGTTCTTCTGTGTATTCTTGTCATCTGTTCTTAATATCTTCTGCTTCTGTTAGGTCCCTATCATTTCTGTCCTTTATTGAGCCCGTTTTTGCATGAAATGTTCCCTTGGTATCTCTAATTTTCTTGAAGAGATCTTTAGTCTTTCCTATTCTATTGTTTTCCTCTATTTCTTTGCACTGATCACTGAGGAAGGCTTTCTTATCCCTCCTTGCTATTCTTTGGAACTCTGCATTCAAATGGGTGTATCTTTCCTTTTCTCTTTGCTTTTCACTTCCTTTCTTTTCATAGCTATTTGTAAGGCCTCCTCAGACAGCCATTTTGCTTTTTTGCATTTCTTTTTCTTGGGGTTGGCCTTGATTCCTGTCTTAATAAGGTGTATTAAGCCATTTAATTCCCACAGCACCCTTCTGAAATTCTATGATTATCTCCATTTTACATATGGAAACATGGAAATACAGACAAGCTAAGTAGCTTGCCCTGGGGCACATGGCCTTTGAGTAATAAACTCAGGATGACAACCCAAGACACTCTGGCCTGGCAAGCAAGGTTCACAGTGCTGACCACCAGGCCAGCTGCCTCTCAATGCGGTGGCTCTGAGGTGGCATGCCTTCATCAGAATAGTAATAAGCCACTTTACAAGGAAGAGAAGTTGTGCAGACAGAGGCAGGCTATTCAGAGGGCCAAAGAATTGATGCCTTCGAACTGTGGTGCTAGAGAAGACTCTTGAGAGTCCCTTAGACATCAAGATCAAATCAGTCAATCTTAAGGAAATCAACCCTGAGTATTCATTGGAAGGACTCATGCTGAAGCTAAAGCTCCAAAATTTTGGTAACCTGATGTGAAGAGCTGACTCGTTAGAAAAGACCCTGATACTGGGAAAGATCAAAGGCAGGGAGAAAAGGGATCGACAGAGGATTAGATGGCTGGATGGCATCAGCAGTGCAATGGACATGAACTTGGGCAAACTCTGGGAGATGGTGACCGATGGGAGGACTGGCGTGCCTCCATGGGGTCTCACAGAGTCGGACATGACTGAGTGACCGAACAGCAAGTATGAGAACAGGATTTATATCGGAAGACTGGGTGTGGATTAGAAGTCTAACACTAACTAGTTCTGCATCAGTTAACCTCACTGACTCTCAGTTTCCTCATATTTAACATGAGGTTAACAATACTGGACTTCTGTGGTCGCTCAGATGGTAAAGAAGCTGCCTGCAATGCAGGAGATCCAGGTCCCATTACTTACCATGCCCTGGAATTTCGAGAACTTGTCAACAAGGCTGTGCTCTGAGACTTAATGCCAAACTGAAATCCACTCAGCTTCAAAAAGTTTCTTTCGGCAAAAGTCAGATGTGTGGGCTTCACAGTGAACTCTAAAGCCCACAGCAGTTCCTGTTTATTCCTCAGGGACTAGCCTTAATGCGAGCAAGATAAAAGCCTGCTTGGATTTTGCCTGCTTTCACCAGAAAGAGGTTAAGTCTGACTTGCACTTCCTCGCAATGGTCTCACTTACAGTAAGAACCTGACTCGTGGGGTAGGAAGGGGCTCTCCATGGCATAGACAGGAACACAACCCAGAGACAGTGAGCATCCCCTCCATGAACCTGCTCTGACTGTATCACTGTGGTTAACAAGAGGCAGCACCCATGTTTCAAAGACTCAGAAAGAACAGTCAGCAATTCACACAGCTCGTCCATTAGATAGATGAGAACCTCGCTAAAGAACTGAACTGTTTGGGGGAGGGGATTGAACTTGTTATGCCAAAGTCTTCTGGAATATTTTAACTCTGGCTTCTCCTGGTTGTGTTGGCAGAGAAAGCAGGGCTAATGCCTAATTGTGTAGTTATTTCTACTGTGTGGTTTCATAGTCATTTCTTTTTTTTTTTTTCATTTATTTTTATTAGTTGGAGGCTAATTACTTTACAACATTTTAGTGGTTTTTGTCTTACATTGACATGAATCAGCCATGGATTTACAAGTCATTTCTTTACCGATGGTCCCTCCAGCCCCACTTCGTAGAAACTTGAAAACAGAAAGCCATATCCTAGTCATAGTTATTCGAGCTCTCTACAGGGTTAAGTCTAGCATTTCCTTATGGTTCCAACCAGGGCTGTTAAGTCGGACTCCCTGGGTTTGAATTCTGGTTCTGCGGCTGAGTAGAGATTGAACTTGGGGGAGTGACTTGATTTTGCGTTAGTAACTTAACCTCTCTCCTGTCTTCATTTCCTCATCTGTGAAATGGAGGTAATTTTAACATTCATCTTCTCTGTAAAGTGTCTAGGGTTCATATAGTAAATATTTGATAAATATTGGCTATTGATAAATACTCAAAAATTATTTATTGGTAAGAATGTATTAGAGACAGAGAGATAATTGTCACAAAGAAGAAAGCTGTGACTCTTTCTCAAACCATCCCAGCTTCTACTAGTCCCAACAGTTCAGATATCCTAGCATAATTTCTCAGACTCATGGAAGCAGCAAAATTCTATCGTCACATGAAAAGTACGTATATAATCTGTGATCTGCTCTAAATCCTGGGGTACAGATTTAGCCATGGTGCTTTTTTCTCTCCAATTAACAGCTACAACAGTCAAGAATCCCATTATAAAAAACATCCCAGGTTTCCACCTTTGTCTAGGAGTGCCAGGGGCTTCATCAGGCAAAAGGGGCCAGATGTCTCTCAAAGGCCAAGTGGGGCAGGAATGGCCTGGCATTGTCTTGCATGTCCAGCTGCTCCTCCTCTGTGGAGGGATCTGAGCTTCCCCAGGGGCGGCGCCCAGCCAGAGCCCAGCTCGAGCTCCAGGCTTGGTGGTGACAGCTCTGAGACCTCGATCACAGGACCAGTATCACTGTCCAGGAGAACTGCCCGGCCAGGACAGCTGCCAGTGAAAGCCACAGGCCTCTGGGCCAAGCCAGCCTCGCACAGCCCATTAGCCCTTTTCTCAGAACCTGGGTCATCAACTAGTCCCAACAGTTCAGATATCCTAGCATAATTTCTCAGACTCATGGAAGCAGCAAAATTCTATCGTCACATGAAAAGTACGTATATAATCTGTGATCTGCTCTAAATCCTGGGGTACAGATTTAGCCATGGTGCTTTTTTCTCTCCAATTAACAGCTATAACAGTCAAGAATCCCATTATAAAAAATATCCCAGGTTTCCACCTTTGTCTAGGAGTGCCAGGGGCTTCATCAGGCAAAAGGGGCCAGATGTCTCTCAAAGGCCAAGTGGGGCAGGAATGGCCTGGCATTGTCTTGCATGTCCAGCTGCTCCTCCTCTGTGGAGGGATCTGAGCTTCCCCAGGGGCGGCGCCCAGCCAGAGCCCAGCTCGAGCTCCAGGCTTGGTGGTGACAGCTCTGAGACCTCGATCACAGGACCAGTATCACTGTCCAGGAGAACTGCCCGGCCAGGACAGCTGCCAGTGAAAGCCACAGGCCTCTGGGCCAAGCCAGCCTCGCACAGCCCATTAGCCCTTTTCTCAGAACCTGGGTCATCAACCTCGGCGTCTCTTCTTCCCTGAACCATGACTTAGTTTCAGGATTTTTCACCTATGCAGATGTGTCTGCCAGTACCCCAGCTGGATGGGCTTGCCAGTGCAGCCGTACAAATCTCCATAGATGGAGGGGCTTAAACAGGGAAATGTATTTTTCCACAGTTCTGGAGGCTGCAAATCTAAGAGAAGATGAGGGCAGGTAGATTGCTTCTGAGGCCTTGCTCCTTGACTTGCAGATAGCTGTCTGCTCCCCGTGTCCTCAGTGTAGCCCCATCTCCAAACACGGTCACATTCTGAGTTACTGGAAGTTAGGACTCCAACACTGGAAATCTTGGTGGGGGGTGGGGCACAGTTCAGCCCATGACAGCAACAGCTGACTCTAGCAGCTTGGGGAATAAGGTAACTTGTGCAACAAGAGAGACAGAGATGGAGAGAGTGAGAGGTGTGTACCAGGGAGCCTCTTCAGACCACTTTCCAGTACAGTGGGCACCGTGTTTTCCTTACTAAGCCATCACTCAAGTGCTGTCCTGACATTTGGAGTCACCTGAGCAGATCCAGGAGCTCTTTGTGAAACAGGTGACCCCAGAGCTCCTCTGAGAGAAAATGGGAGTGCAGTCTGCACCCTTCTTCACCCTCTCCTCAAGAAATCACCTCTGACCAGCACCGTGTAAAACCCTGGCCTGGAGGATTCCAGGCATCAAGACTCCTTCTGCTACTTTTTTTCACAATCTGCGATTCACAGCAATTTGAATTGGGGTGTGTGTGTGTGTGTGTGTGTGTGTGTGTGTGTGTATTACTTCTACCTATTGCTGGCTGTGAGAACATACAATAATAGCTTCGTGACCAGCATTCAGCCCAGCTCTGCTCTGGGGTTGGGATGAGCCTGAGACCTGCCGACACCCTGGCTTCAATTTTCCCCCTTGGTTCCTCCCTGGAGACGGGCTGGTTAATCACCCTGCTCAGCTGTGACACCCCAGAGAAGCCAAGAGAGGACAGTCAGAGGCGGCCTCCCCGTGACCTGCTTGCTCACACCAGACCAATAAAGTGCGGGCAGAGTGACAACGACAGCTGCCCCGTGGTGTTCAGAGGGAGCCAAGCAGTTCAGTTCTGCAGCCCCGGGAAGAGTGTGTCATTACAGCCCTGCTTCTCCAAGAGAAGCCACCTCAACGCAGTTGGGGGTGCTCGCAGCTCTTGGAGCCACAGTCAGGCATCTGGAACCCCAAGGACCAGGCACCAGGGACTCCGAGAGCCGGGCATCTGGGATTCCCATCTCCCGCATCCTCCCAAGTCCTACTCCACCTGCAGCACCACCAGCTACGGCTCCCGTCACCCGATCGGCCCCCTGCTGGGCTTTAGCAGTGGAGTCTGGTCTCCATCCCCATCTGTGGCAAGAGAGACGCTGGAGAAAGGAGGTACATGGGGGCCAGGCAGTCCGGGGCCCGCCGCAAGGACAAGGGCCCCCTGGGGCGGGGGCTACTGCGGGGGAGGCAGAAGTTCTCCTCCTGGGACGATGCTCTGCTTCCCGGGAGGGACCCGCGCTGCCTGCTGAAGCGGGGGCTGCGCCATGTCAGTTTCAGCCTGGTCACCAAGGGCATGACGGACGCGCCCGACTTCCTGTGGGGCCTGTCGGAGATGCAGAAGCTCAACCTGTCCCACAACCAGCTCCGGGCCGTTCCGCCCGAACTGGGGAAGCTTACGCGGCTGGTGGTCCTGAACTTGTGCGGGAACCGCCTGAAGACGCTGCCCCGGGAAGTCAGCCTTCTGCAGAGCCTCAAAGTCCTGTTCGTGCACATGAACGGCCTGACGGAGCTGCCGGCCGAGCTGGGCGCCTGCCGGAGCTTGGAGGTCCTGAGCGCGTCGCACAACTGCCTGTCCCAGCTGCCCGCCAGCCTTGCCGACCTGTCGCGGCTGCGCAAGCTGAACCTCAGCCACAACCGCTTCGCCCACATCCCCGTCTGCGTGTTCTCACTCAAGGAGCTGGACTTCCTGCACGTGGGCTCCAACCGCCTGGAGAACATTGCCGAGAGCATCCAGTGCCTGGCCGGCTTGCAGATCTTCATCGCTGAGGGCAACCACATCCACACCTTCCCACGCTCGCTCTGCCTGCTCACAAGCCTGGAGCTGCTGAACCTGAACAACAATGACATCCAGACGCTCCCTGCGGAGCTCTATATGCTCTGCAGGCTGACCAGGATCGCCTGGAACCCCATGGACAAAGGGCTGCACATTTCCCGTAACCCTTTATCCAAACCTCTGCCCGAGCTGCTGGAGGGGGGCCTGGAGATGCTCGTCAGTTACCTGAAGGACAGAAAACACACCTGACTCAGACGGGAACTTCCCTAGTCTAAACCCTCTCCTCTTCCTGTTGCTGCGGGTGGAGGCTTGTGTTACTATATGCTGAGTTGTACTGAACGCCCCTTCTTAGCAGGTGTTTGCTTTTTCGCTCTGTATACGCCTATAAATGGGCTTCTACTTCTCAGCAGTAGAGAATCCACCTGCAATGCAGGAGATGCGAGTTCAATCCCTGGGTAATAGGAAGATCCCCTGGAGGAGGGCATGGTAACCCACTCCAGTATTCTTGCCTAAAGAATCCCATGGACAGAGGAGCCTGGTGGGCTACAGTCCACAGGGTGGGAAAGAGTCCGACACAACTGAAGAGACAGCCCGCCGGCCTCTCCCAAAAGCCCGTTTAATATCATCTCCTTCTGAATATCAGTGGATAGAGGACTTGGGTTTTCTTTCCCCAAAGAAAAATAATTCTTCTTCTTCTGGGGAGCAGTGGGATTCAGCCTTCAAAAGAGAGGACAGCAGGTATGATTCAATGTCCACCAAAAGTGAAATGTTTACTAAGTACGTGCTCTGAGCCAGGTACAATATAGGAGGGGTTGAGACCATCTGGTTTTAGTCCCTGAGCTGGCACCCTGCAGCCACATAGCCCCAGCAAGACATGCCCCCACCCCTGTCTCCATCCAGCATCCCTTGGGACCAAAGAGAAGCTGGCGCCCAGCCCTCCCGGCAATGGACCAAATCCAGCAGAGCCTCCCCTTGAGTCCCGGGGGAGATAAGCCACAGGAACTTTGCCTCTAGAATGACTAGGGCAGCAGTCCAGCCACTCATGCTGATGTCTGGGGGTGGGTGACGGGGTGCAGCGTGCTGGCTTTCAGAGAATAAACACAAGCAGAGCCAACACTCGGTGTCCATCTTCTTTCCAATCCTTCTCTTGCGCCCAGTCATATCCTCGAGCTTTTCTAGAGATACGGGCCAATGGTTACAGTCCCCTGTTGTAATTTCACTCCTCCTCTCTTCCTAGATTTGCCTTCTCGGAGGTGAGCTAACAACCAGGGGAAAAGCTCAAAAGGCAGGAAAGAGGAGGTAAGGCATAGACAGCCCACCCCCAAAAGTCATTACCCTTTCATATTCAGAGGGGGATGATGTCTGCTACTGGCTTTCACCTGTGGTCCTTTAAAAATTAGCTGAGGCACTTCCCTGGTGGTCCGGTGATTAAGACTCCACTCTTCCAATGCTGGCGGTGTGGGTTCAGTCCTTGATGGGGGAACAAGGGTCCCACATGCCAAGGGGCGTGGCCAAAAATAAATAAATTAATGAAATAAAACACTTCGGAGATCTCTCACTTATTTCAAAATTTTACAAATTACAAATGAGTTGAGTGACATGCAAAGCTCTTTGGAGAAAAGGCTCTGTAAGAATATTATTTGCTTTGTTTTCAATTCTGAGAGTTACACAGCTGATAGTTCAATGCAAAATCAGGACGAGCCGTTACAGAGTTCCTGCCACGAGAATGACTGGGCCTCACTGTCATCGTCCCAGCCGAGAGCCCCCGAGATGTCACCGTGTGTTGAGAGTTCAAGAATTCAAATGAATGTGACAGTGAACATACAATGCCTTCAGATCCAGAGATCTGGATCTGTGGATCCACAAGCGCTCAGGTTTCTTGGCACATTTGTCTACAGGACATAGCAGACAATAGCAAGACAGGAATGGGGGATGTGGCCAGGATCATCTAACTCCTTACTACCCTTAGTTTAATTCAGTTAAATTCATGTTTATTAGCACTTTTCCTGGGCAGGCACCTCGAGAAGAATAAGGCTCAGCTCCTTCTATCAAGGAGCTCAAAGTGTGCTGAAAGAGACAGACCTACGTGGGTTTCCACAATGTGGCAAGTCATGATCCCCACTGCTGCTGCTGCTAAGTTGCCTCAGTTGTGTCCGACTCTGTGCGACCCCATAGACGGCAGCCCACCAGGCTCCCCCGTCCCTGGGACTCTCCAGGCAAGAACACTGGAGTGGGGTGCCATCGCCTTCTCCTCATGATCCCCACTAGAGAGAGATTAAAGCAAAGATAGCATACCAGATGGTGTGTAGCACAGGCTGAGCCCCAAGTTTCAGAACCAAAGGACACGATTGGGACGAATCAGTCAAATCCCTGTTCTTGGCAGCCGTCTCACCCTAATTCCCCTCACCGCTTCGCCCCACGTAGGGGAGGGGAGCACAGCCCAGGGGGCTACGGGGCTCATTCTCAGGTGCTGACTTAGGCAGCTTTAGTGGCAAGGCGTGGGCTGTCCTCTTCTTATTCTAAGCATTGATCAAGGAGGGGTGTGTCCATGTAACTTATTCACAGGACAAATGGATTTCCCACCAGACCCCAAAGTCAATATCCCATCCATCATAGAGGGCAGCCCATTCCTGCCATTATCACCAGATACCACTGTTCCGTGAACACCCTGGGTACATGAGTTCTTGTGCTGAACCACTGCAAACAGATCTCAACAGTGTCACCGGGAGGCAGCTGAAGTCCCCTCCACACCCCCCCCTCCCCCCCGCCGCCAACCACCCCCCAGCAGCAACCGGAGATCTGCTTATCCCCGCCGGGCACACATAGGCACACTCAGTAACCTCACCCACGTTCACTTGCTGGAGCCAAGACTATTTAAAGACATCAGTGGAATTCTTACTCGATCTCATGACTCAGAGGGAAACGGCAGTGTGAGGCTCTCTCTGCAGAGTAGGACAGAGGCTGGAGCTGGAGCCCATACAGGCAGCTGTCGCACAAACACCGTGCGTGCCAGGATCGCGCCCACTGGTGTCCCCTGGTGTCCGCTGCCGAAGGCCCACTTGGGCTCATGCTGAATTTCCATGACCTTGCTCTGGGCCGAGAGTCAGGCTGGGGCACCACCATCACACTTTTCCTGCTGAGCAATCATTTTATTTCCTCTCCTGGCTTTTTCAGTCACTTGATACCTCACAGTAACTCTACTCCAGGGAAAGAACATAACCATAGTTTGAAGGTGACCCAAGAGCTTATTATACTGCTTAAGGAAAGGGTGGTATCAGTGTGGTTGGCAGCTTCCATCGGTGCCTTTCAGAGGTATAGAAGCGAGGTCGGCATTGAGGGCTGCATGAAAGTAATAGCAGTTGCCCGATGGGCTTTAGATATTGATTCTTTGTGAATGCTCTTTTTTATTGATGAAGGGAAGTGCTGAGCACAAACCTGGTTAACATGCTTGGTTATTCAAAACACCCACGCGAAGGGAATTTGATACAGTGCTGGTGTCTGCCTTCAAACCCTACAGTTTGCTGACGGGTTGTGAAATGCACCTTGCTTATCTTCTGTAGTTTTGATGCCGCCACACTCGAATAACTCCCAGGTATTTCTAAGACTTCTGATATCAAAGCCCTGAGGCTGACTGCAAGGGTGGCGGAGTACGTTTAGCCAAAGAATGCAAGCTAATTGGGGGCTTGATGTAGGGAGTTGACTGTTCACATCCTGATAGTCGGGTAGTTGCATGTCACCAGGCTCTCAGTAAGACGTGATCTCAGTAGTGTGTTCAGAGACACCTTTTGAAGCAGCTTACAAACCCACAATTAAGAAGAAATCCTCTGTTCCTAGGGAAGGAAGATGGTTTTGAAAAGACACATCTGTTGGAGAAATAATACCGCTAAATTCATAAAGCTGCTGCACATTAGAAAGAAGCATGTCATCATTAGTTACTTGTTGACTTAGTAAATGGTTAATAGAAGTAATGCGCTCTGTTCTTAGACTTGAGTCAATGTACTGTCTCTCTGTAGTAACCAGACGGGATGCACCTGTCCTTCACAACAAGACACTCCTGCAAAGAGATGGAGAGGGAAAGCTGTCATTATCTGTACAGATACTTTAAACCCTTTTCTTGTGGGAATGGTTACTGTATTTTAAAATGCCATTTCCTATGCCTCCAAGCACAGACTGAATATGCATGTGGATGGCTATGCATTACACAGTGGAAGATGAATGCCCTGTGGGCTTGGTCCCTGGAAGACGACGCAAGTGTCAACATCCTGAGATGATGGGGGTGAGGCTCAAAGCTGCGCTGGGCTGCTTCTCATCAGTAATGTACATCAGCAACAGTGAGTCTGGACAGTCTCTAAGATTCTATTACAAATGAGAGAAACAGAAGACGAGTTCAATAAATGGTCTTTTTCGAAAAAGGAAGCACTCAAGTTGTTAGATTTAGCTAATAGGAAGATGCTAGAGGATAAGATGGTTAGGTAGCATCACCAACTCAATACACAGGAATTTAAGCAAACTCCAGGAGGTAGTGGGGGATGGAGGAACCTGGTATCCACAGTCCATGGGGTCGCAAAGAGTTGGACACAACTTAGCGACTAAACAACAACTCCATCCTAAACAATACCTCCTTAGGTATCCATGGGTTCTCTATCTTCTTATCCCTCCAAAGAGTTTTATTTTCAGCACCATGTGAGAAACAGAGAAACACAAAATTCCCAGCCTAGATTAAATATGCAACTAAGTATTGATACCATCAGGTAATTATAATTAATCAAGGTACATTAAAATACAACTTTTCATAGATTGTAAGAAAATGAAATAAAATTCAGAGGAACATGAAAGCTGTTATAAATAGTAATAGGAACAATCTTGACCTTGTTGAGAAAAGAACTTTTTATGAGTGTTCTTTGAAGGTACCCATTAAGTTATATGTTGAATCCAAAGCATTACTAATTTTAAAAAAGGACAGCATAGTAATAAAAGGGAGGCAGAGAGGGCTCATAATGAATTTGTAAGAGCTTGGGAACCGTAAGCCAACAAAAACGGAAACCAATAACAACAAACCTGCCAAGCAAAATTTTTTTTTTAGTAGTGTCATAGGAATCTATTTGCAAGGAGAGAACTTGCTTCCTACTGCTTAAACTTTCTTCTTATTTCAGCACAGGACAGAAAATGAAAGTGAACTTGAGTCCTTCCGGAAAGCGTCAAAGTAATTCCGGACGCCCTTGAGGGAAACATACATTATGAAATATACAGGATGACTGGGTTCCATAGGATGAGCTAGAGTCACCTTTGGAGCATCACAGAGTCCCCCATATTCTTCAGCCTTGAGTAACTTGAGTTCCCCAGAGGAGCCAGGACATGCCACTGGGGCCAATCTGTATTTCAGCCTCAGCCTCAGCGGCAAGGCTCCTGGATGCTGCTGGTCCCCGGACTGCAAAGCCACTGAATTTATCCTCATGGCTAACTTGG